TTAACCACCACTCCACCTTCCAGCCCCAAAGACCTTCTTTTAAATTGATACAGATCCACTAATGCCATCTTTGAATAATGCATAAGTTCGTTAGACTGTACTCTCATTCATCTCATGTTACCATTTTGACTGTGAGGATATCAAGAAACACCTCTGTTTTGTTGTTGCCCAAGGGTACTGTGCGTACTACTTTTTTTTTTTTTTTTAATTAACTGGAAAGAATTTGAATTCCTGAATGTATGAACTTTGAGGAGAAACATTTCTTTTTTATTTTTCATTCATAAAAGAGTGAATGCGCGCGAGAGAGATTTGGTCTTGCTGCAATCTCTTTTCTCCAGTCCTCCAACCTGCCGGTATCCTGGCCACATGTGCATATGTCTGGCATACTTTTAGGCCAAATTCTTGGCCAGGGACTTAAACCACAGTTGGCATGTGGCTTCCAGCTTCCTCAGTCTAGTATGCTACCGACTATGTCACAGAGGTTAGGGCTATCTACAATTCTATGATCTACCAATTTTGAAACGCTTGTCAGAAAATAAAATGAAGTATTCAGAGACTCTTTATTTATCCAATGAGCAAATAGTTGAGAACTATCTACGCTTACATTCTCATCTTAACCCACATTATTTAATCATCACAGCTACTCCATAATGTTTGGATTCCTGTTGCATAGACAACCTCGTTCAGACTGACACATGCGGATGGTTTAGCTGGTTGCTTTCTAGGTACTTATAACCCAGTCCTTTAGCGATCCACTGAAGAATCATGCGGGGAATTATATTTGAAACCACATATTTCATGTAGTTCTCAAAGTTAAAATATTTGTCTTCTGTGTTTTCTCAAAGATCGTTGTTCTTTCAGCAGTTTTCACTGTCATTTATCAGGCCTGGAGACATGACCTCATTGTGAAGAGCTGCATGCTCACTTAAAATTGCTTTGCAGAGTGCTTGATTTAGTTCTCTCTAGCCATGTTTTCCCCTGCCTTCTTAATTTGAATACCATTCACCTTCAACAACAACAAAAAAAAATAGAGACAATTTTTTCCCCTTCTTTTATTATTATTATTATTTTGGCATTCACAGCTGGTATTAACTCCAGTGTAATCCTGATCCAAACACATGAACACAAGTATCCAGCATTTTTTGTTAACCTTACCTTTTTGTTCAATCAGTACATTGAGGTTTTAGCCTTCCTATAACTATATATATGTGGTTGCCATTCTTTTATTCCATCTTGTCCCCTGGCCTTTTCCTCCCATAACCCGTACACACCTAATTTATACACGCACTTGTAAGAGAGCAGGCTTTGTAGTTATATTGATCTCTCTAGAGTCTTTCCTCCTTTTTTTTTTTTAATGGAGAGACCACACGATCAGCCTTTAGAACCCATATTCTGTGTCAGCATGTAAAAACTCTGAGACTGTGAGCCTGTGAGAATTGTTTATGGCATATGTCTCAATTATTTAATTGAAATGGTTTGGCGCTACCCTCACACTGTCATTCTGGCTTCTACATCGCTGAGACAAGGATTGTTTACTCACAAGAAACAGAAACCCACTTAAACTAACTGAAGTGAAAAATGGGGCATTTAATAAAAGAACATAAGGGTACGTCATGGCAGGAAGAGTAGCTGGGCTCCACGAGGAACTCGACTGCCCTCCGGGCAGGTGGGAATGGAGACTTTTCCTGTGTGCCCGTGCTTCCCCCAGTCCCTCTGCTCCAGCATTTTCTGCTTTAGTGTGCACCTGGGAGTAAACAGGATCTTACCTCCACTGCCCATGGCCTTCCAGATCAAGTGCCCAAGCCCCAAACTTCAACTTTCAACTCTCTCTGGAGTCTGATTTCCTTGGCTTGGCTTATGGATTATTTTCCATGGTGTCTCAAGCCCACTCTTGACCCAGACACAGAGAAAAGGGCCACTTACTGTCATCCTACTGTGGAAGATAGCTTTTCTAGGGAGGGTGTGAGGTAGAGCAGAAATGGTTTCATACGTTCATGTCAGAGCTGTCATCTTCCCATCTAATTACTGCTATAGGTTTATTATTTTTTTAAATTATTTTCTCCACAATCTTGTTAAGTAGTTTCCAGACAATCTTACATTAATCACACACACACACACACACACACACACACACACACGCGTGAAATACACTCTCAACTTAGATGTAGGTCTTTCATTCCAGTACTTTACACCATTGTTTAGAACTTAAATGATATTAATTCATGACTCTCATAGCCTCCCCTTTCTTTCAAGGGGGACCAATGAAAACCTCCCCTGTATCTTAGATATCTCCCTGTAAGAATCAGCCTGAGTAGCAGTCCTGGGAGAATGCTTGAGAAAGACGATAGCACTACTAACTCTCCTTGGTTTATTGTGGCTGCCCTTAATCTCCACCACAGAGAATTACCAACCCCCAAATGCAGTCCTTCCTGCCTGGGTCGGTATTTGGTATTCTTGATCAGGGATGCTCATTTCTTTCCAGCGTTTTTTTCTTTCCTCAGAGAGGATCTAGCCCACCTCTTGGCTCCCATGTTTTTGTGTCTCCAGTGTGTTTCTTCTGTCTGTCACATTTCTACATCTTTTATTTCATGAATTCAATTTTGATTCTCTTTCCCCTTTTCATGTTTTGTTGTGTTTGGGGTGCAGCCACTCTTCTAGAAGGTCTAGATTTACCTTTCGGGGAGGAGGTGCCTACCTAGTGTATATTTTCAGTCCAGTAGAATTTATTCACCTTTCTTTTTTCTTTACATTCATCCTTCTCTACATCATCAGATCAAGTTTTAACTTCTTCATCATTAAAGGCAGGATTTGAACATTTTAATTTTTTTCTTATAATCCTATTATTTGGGATAATTTGTTCTCAGATATTATCTTAGAAATATATTTTTAAGACCTCTTAATCTTTCAAGCATATAAATGAGCTAAACACCATTCAATATACCCATAGCTTATACTTGCATAGGACAGAAAGACAAAACTTAGCTCTTATTCTGCTTGTCACCAAACCAATGCCTTTAGGTCCCATGAATTTTGGTTGGTATTGTGATAGAAAGATATCTATTATCTTGGGGTCAGACTGTGGTGCAGTGATAAACTATGACACTCCGTGAGGCAAGAGCACTTAAGAAGGTTTCCAATTCAAGACTGGAGACCTTCCTGAGTATGCCAGGCATATGCTTGCCCATGAACCAGGGCCGGCTGAAGGCTGGGGTAGTTTGCAGTGTAGAGACCCTGTTGAGGGTATGCACTCTCTCTTTGGCTTGTAGAAGAAATGAGTAAACTTTACAAAAAAAGGTTATTTATATATATATATATATATACACACACACACATACATGTACATATGTACATATATGTAAAATTTCTGTGTCTCCTGATTTCCTTTTACTATGTCTTATAATAGAAGTTGAAAGCATAGACTCAGAGGTCAAATAGATGATGATACTCTATGTTACTTTACTGAAACTTTGTAAGCCTCGGTTTCCTCACCAGTAAAGTAGGGATAACAATAGTTCCTACTGCAGAGAGTTTTTAATGACGATTGGATGAGAAAATGTGAGGGAGTGTTTACTACGTTGTAAATGATTGGTAAGTGCTCGCTCACTCCAGTTATTGTTGCGATTACTTTTGCTAGGCTGTTAGCCTCTTGAAATTGGGAACCATGTTGAACTTTATTAAACGATTTATACTTAAGTTTATAATTATTTATTTGTGTAATGGTTGTGTTTAGTGGGAAGAGTTCCAGAAAAAAGAAATATACTGTAATTAAAATAATTAGATTTGGTTCTGGTTTCATTATGTTACATTTTTTTCAAAGAGAGATTTTTGCTATAGGGCACATGTGCTCACCAGAGAAACAGAGAGAGACAGAGACAGAAACAAAAAAATCACCCTCCGGGTGGATGGCCACACTGCAATCCTCTCTCCATTCTTCACTCAGGATTTTGGGCATGCATGCACATGTGCCTGGCATGAGTTTTAAGCCACCAGGTCTGGGACTCAAACTGAGGTCGACTATGTGCTAGTCTAGGGATGTAACCATTATACCATCTGCTGGTCCAACACTTCTTTGTTCCTTCAGGTTGATGAGTTGTACTTATACTGTTTTTTTCCCCTCATTCCTAATCTCATTTTGATATTTTATTTTTCAAAAAAAATTTAATCATTTCTAAAATTTTCTTTTGCCTTTTTTGCTGGGTAGGTGGGATTCAAATTCAAATTACGCCAGTATTTTTTTTTAAGGCAAGGTTTTACTATGTTGCAATACTCCTGTCTCAGCCTCCCAAGTAGTTGTGATCACAGGTGAGTGCCATCTGGCTGTTTTTAGCCAGGTCTAGTTATGTTACCCAGATCAGCCTCAGCTTATGATCCTGCATCCACCTCCCCAAATACCAGAGGTTACAGGCACACGCCACCACATCTTCACATTGGAGAGGAATCAAACCCGGGTCTCCGTGGTGGTCCAGGCCTCTCATGTGGTTCGAGCCTGTGGAGCACAGGGTCTTAGCAGTGCACACTACCACAGCTGGGCCACCACCCATGCTTTTAAGTGTCAGCTATGGGCCAGGTGCCTGAAAATACTTAGACATTATTTTCTTTTCCTAAATGAAAACAATCCAGATTTTGAGAATTCAGGTGAATAGTCCATATATTTAAGTTGTATGAACTTGCAGTAGGTAGCATCTGCAAGAATGAGAAATAAGATGAACTAGTGAGAAAGAATTGTAAGAAAAATATGATCAAATTGTGTAATTATAGAGAAATGGTGGTTTTTTTCTTTAAAGAAGGGTAGAGGGAAGAGCCAAGGAGGTCTCTGAAAGAGATGATATTTCATCTATGACATGGCCAGTTAGTTCATAAACAATTGGAGTTGAATAATCTTGAAAATATTTTTGTTTCATTTCCTCTGTTCTCATTTTTGTTATATATCATAGTTTAAAATCTATGATACTATCAATGCAAAGTAGATAAATTTCCACTAATTAGAAGGTAAGATGGTAGACATGGGAGAAAAGTGTTTAATTTGATGATATGTGGATTATGAGTAGGTTTTGCTACAGTTCTCATAATACAAAACTAGGCTTTGAAATGCTTGGTAAATCTGCCGATTCTGGGTACAGATGAACCCTCCACTTCTGAAGGCTTGATATGGGCTCCGATTTAGATCTCCAATACATGTCCAGCGATTTCGGGCGCCCTTTTGGGAAATGCACCATTTGGCATGATCCTGGTAAGAACTGAAGTAAGATTGTCGCGATGTCTTAATTGCTTTGATATTGTAGACATGGTAAGGGAGAGAGCAGTTTGAAGGAAGCTCTTGCCTCTTCCGCTGCCAGGTTTCTGCTAGCAAGTGTGTCTTCAACTGTTGAGCCATCCAAGCTACAAAGATGTCTAGGGTTTCGAAAAAGAAAGACAGTGACGTTAGCTTTTATGCTTAGAGAAGTCCCTGAAAAAGTCCCTAGGAATGAAAATCATCATTCGCCCTGGCATGAGGATATCAAAAGCACAATCATAACGACACAGTTGATATCACGGGTAGGAAGACATTCTGTGAAAGCTTGTGATACACAGAGGTTACCATCCCCATCACTATGATGGTATTCGTGTCCACAGATACTTGCTATTCCCCACAAGCAAGGGAGCAATGCATGTTTTTGTCCCCAAGAGACCTTCAGAAAGAATGAGGCTAGAGAAGTAACCAGAAGCCAGTTTCTAGGGATATTTGTAAGCAATGTTAAAATGCTTGGATTTCCCTAAAGTGAATGGGTAATGTTTAAAGGAATGTTGTGAAGATTTGATAGTAACTGATTTATATGATAATAAAAGTCAATTGGAGAGTGATGTGCAAGATGGATTGGGAAGAAAGGTTTAGAAAGGAGATAGGAAAAACATTTCACAGTAACTGTGCCAATAAACGCTGGCATGGACTATGGCAGTGGCGGTTTGGAAGGTAAGTAAATGTGAGAGTTATTAAGAATTTGGAACTGATTGTATGAGAAGGTTTAATAGAGGAAAGAGGAAAAAGATCTGGAAAGAACCGACCTGGCTGACTGTGCAGAATACAAGGAAAAGCGTCAATTTGGGGGGCCGAGGAGAGATGTTTGGGGGCATGTAGAATTTGGTGTGACTCTAACACTCCCGAGTGAATATCCCACTTCCACTTGCTGTTGAATACATCAGTTAGTACAGATGTCTGGGATGGAGACCCTGAGTTGAGAATCACCTGGGACCTGGAATTGCCTAGCATGGTGTGTAGAAAGAGACAGAAGTGTGGAACCAGCGGTTGGCATAATAGTTTTGTTGCTGGACTCCCATGTAGTCCACCACAGTTTGAGTCCCGGACCCAGTGGTTTAAACTCATGCTGGACACGTGTATGCGTGCCCAAGATCCCGAGAGGAGAATGGAGGAGAAGGAATTGTGGTATGGCCATCCCCCCAGGGGTGATTTCTTGCTTTCTGTCTCTCTGTCCTTCTCTGTCTTTCTGGTGAGCCCACACACCCTGTAGCAAAAACCTCTCCAAAAAGATAAAAAAGAAAGAGACAGAAGCATAAAGTCCCGTGCAGCAACCCAAGGAGTAGTAACAGAAAGAGACTGGCGGAAGATATTGAAAAGAAGTGGGACAAAGATCAAGACATTGCATGCTCCCAGAATCAATGAAGGAGAGTGTTTCAGAAAGGGAAGGGCTTCATCAGTGCAAATTCTTCAGAGACTACTATTTCCATCCTAACACCCTTTTGATCTCTAGTGCCTAACGCACGGCTTGGCACATACTATGCATTTAGTAAATTTTATCCAACGTATAAAGGAATGAAGGAAGCAAATAAGCAAGGAAAGCAGAGACATCATGTAGGACAGCTCTAGGTGACTGGGGAGAGATTGAAATATCTACAGAGAAATAAGACTGTAGTGAAGAAGTGTTGAGTATATGAAGGCTAAGAAGGGTTTTTGTTTTTGTTTTTTTAAAAAGACATCTGGGAAAAAAATGAAAAACAGATACAAGGGATTTGGAATTGAGGGAAGGCTTCTAGGCATGTTTGTATGTTATAAAGGAGCCTGTAAAATAGGAGGGTTGAAGCAGAAGAGGGAGACTAGATCAGGTGAACAAGTTGACGTGTGCTGAGGCTGGGATGTGGCCCCGAGCAGAGGAGGTGCATCCCTTCTGCTGTGATGAGAGAGAAAGACGACAGATACGCTTGTCAGACGAGCGAGGCTGTGAGATCCAAGTCGTTTCTCCCTGGTCATCTCTTTCTTCTCTATGAAAGAGAAAGTGAAGCTATGTGTGAGGGCGAGGGTACTGTAAAGGACTTGAGAGTGTGGAAGGATACAAATAACTGCTTAGGGAATGGAAGAGGAGACAGCCTGGCCCCGCGCTAAACAGAGGCCCCGGCGAGATGGCTGCCGGATGCCTTTGTGGACCAGCAACCCTGCTATTCAATCGTCAGGCCGACTTTTGAATGAATCCTTGATTTCCCCTTTCCCTTTCCTTCCTCTTTCCTCCCTCCTTTCCTACTTCTCACCCCCTGAATAGTCATGTTACTTTTCTAAACAATCCACAGTCAGTTGCATGATGGTCTTTCATACCATCAAAAAAAGAATCCGATTTTGCGAAATGGAGGAAGTTTTGTCCCTGAGCTGACTGAAGTGTGGTGAGGTGCCTGCGGGGGGCCTCTGATGAGATGTTCCCAGTGCACAGCTGAAGCATGTGAACGAGCTTGTGCTGAAAGGCAGCTGGAATGGAACAGCTATAGACATTTGGGTTGTAGACCAAGAGCTGAAAATCTGAAAAGAAACAGAAAAAAAAAAAGGTGAGAATTAAGACACAAATGGAAATGCGTATTGCTATTAGAGATCTTGTTGTGGATTAAAGAATACATGACTTTGACTGAAATAGCGGACACCTCTTAAGCACCTCCTGCTTTCCAGACATTGTTCTCTAAGGCTCACATAGGTTTAACTATTCAGTCCTCAGAATCACTTTATTATTTAGGTACATTTTTTGTTATCCCCATTTTGTAAATACATTAACTGAGAAATTCATGCCATATGCCCAAGGTTATAAAGCTTCTAACTGATGGAGTTGATACTTAAATTCAGATTATATGGCCTTGGAGACCATATTTTTCCCCATATATATTATATAAAATATATAGAGAAAAGTAGAGAACTTTCGTGCACCAATCACTCGGCTTTATGAATAACCAACTCATTTGTATTCATGCCTAACCTCTGTGATACTCAGTTTTCTAACCATTATGTAAACTCAACTAGTTAGAATAAAGCTTGATGTGGCTGAGAGGCTCCGTGATCTTTGGCAAAAGATGGAAATGTAATGAAAAGCATTCTCTAGACCTCCTATATCTAGAAGTCAGTCACTCTTTACCACTGTTCAGCAGCCTCCTCAGTAAAACATGATTGATGAAACAGTGTTCCTGTCTCTCTTGCTTCTCTAGCATAGTTTTCCAAATCTAGTAATTTGGGTCATTTGAGCTTTAGATCTTTTCTTTTATTTTTTTTGAAGTTTGCATATATACTCAGCAGAGAGAGACACAGAGAGAGAGAGATTGAAGTTTGCGTATATACTCAGCAGAGAGAGGCACAGAGAGAGAGAGAGAGAGAAAGTGAGAAAGCACCCCCAAGCGAGAAGGCCATACAGCAATCCCTTCTCCTTCATTTTCCTCTCAAGATTTTTGGACACATTCTCACACAAACCCAGTGTGTTTCTTAAGCCACCAGTGGAACTCCAACAATCTATGTAGGATCCAGCCACTTTAAACACCACACCTCTGGCTGGTCTGAGCTTGAGATCTCTTTTTTTGGAGAGATTTTCACTGTAGGATGTGTGTGCTCGCTAGACAGACAGAGAGAGACATAGAGACAGAAAGCGAGAAATCACCCCCCCATGGGGGATGGTCACGCCACAATCCCTTCTCCTCCATTCTCCTCTCAGGATCTTGGGCATGCACGCACATGCGCCCGGTGTGAGTCGTAAGCCACCGGGTCCAGGACACAAACCACGGTCGACTACATAGCCATTACGCTAACTGCTGGTTCCCTGAGCTTGAGATCTTAAAGAAAGATTATCTAGTTCAGAGGTGTCATGTTGGTTGCCTAAAGCAAAATGTAGTTTACATAATTGTTTTTTAGTATGTGCCCCAAAATCCTCAAATAGAGGAGAATAGAGGAGAAGGGATTGTGGTGTGGCCATTCTCCCTCTGACTGCCTCTCTCTAGTGAGTACACATGTCTTATGGCAAAAACAAAAAACAAACAAAAAAAAAGAGAGAGAGTCCATATTTACAAATTAGCAAAATTATCTCTCTCATTTCTCGCTCTCTCTCTGTCACATACACATGTATACACACTCCGTATGTTTCTGACTCCCCTTGAAAAATATGGAGAACTGTAATCATTAGGTCAGTATTTCTGGAAAGCCACAATATGATGGAACCAAAGCCTTTGAGTTAAAGTAAAGGAGTCTGTCTGTGTCCCCATACCCATGCAACATCTGGTCTATTTCACCCATTTTTGTTACCTGCCTAGCCCCTGGGTCCATTTGAAACTACTGCCACTAATCAAATTCAATGACACCATTCGCAGACTAGGAACCAAGGCCTATAAGTGAACCTGTCCAAGATCTCATCATGGCAAAGCCAATATGAGAATCTAGGTATCTGAGATGTACAAATAGGTTAATAACTGAAATGGGTCAGTCTGTGATTAAGGGAGTTGAATCCCACGTGGCTGACTACAGTTCTGGCCTGGCCCTACAGTCTTGAAAGACATGCCAGGTATATGTGCATGTGTGCCCCAGATCCCAGCAGGATGGAGAGATGAAGGAGAAGGGGTTACAGCATGACCACAACCCATTGGGGGTGTGCATTCCCTTGATTTCTCTTTCTTTTTTTTTCTCTTTGCAGTCAGCACACATGCCTTTCTGGCAACTTTGTTTTTTTTTTTAAATAGGAAGTGACACATTTATTAATAAATTGCCAAATTCCTCCTTCAACATTATCCCCCCCCCCAATATATTCTATTACCTATTGCTTCATACTGACTGTACTTGAAAGTAATGCAGATGCCACTTTGTCCATTCCGTCTCCCTGAAGGTGGATAGTCATAGCCTTCTTCAGGGATTGGAGGAAACCGGGGAATAGAATGAATGAGCCAGAAGCCCTGGGCTCTGTCCCACAGCAGCAAACCTACCAAAGATACGTTTTATATCGATAAGTCAGAAAAACAAAGCTCCGAGTAAAATAGGGTTCGAACATGTAACACTTAAGCCCATTTAAGCTTTAGGCTAATGTTTGATTAGGCAAATAATCACAAAGATAGGGATCATTTTTCAAATATTTCAAAAACAAGTCAGGCACACCTCACATTGCCCCATTACTGAAAACAGGCCACCACAAAGAGGAGCCAGGGCAGCCACTCCATGAAGGATTAAGAGAAATTTTATGTTGAAATAACAAGGAAAATTTGTTTTGGCAGGATGCAAATTTATAAGTTGGAATTTGATCTTGTTAAACTATTCAGTCACCTGACAAACTTCAGATAGTGTCTTCACAGCTAAGCAGCTAAGCTATTTTCAAAATATAACTAAAAATCAGAGTTGAAAGAAAAAAATATTAAATGAAGAAATATACTTGCAGTAATTTGTTTTCAGAAACTGAGGCTCATTAATCAACAGAAGAGTCACCTAATTCTACAAGCCTGATAAAAGAGGCAAAGAGAAAATGAGAGAGACTTGCTAAAGCACCCTAGTTAATTACTTTGAGTAAAAATCTCTAGAGCAAAATAACGCAAAGGCCAGAAAGTAAGAAAATAGACTTTCATCGTCTTGTGACGTAGCAAACAGAACCCTGCCCAATAGACGTCTATGACTACTTCTGTTTTTAAATATTATCAGGTTAGAGTTGGTCTATGGTAACTAGACTCTTTCTCTTCAAGTTTGCCTTATTGTTAGAGGAAACCAAATGTCAGCTAGTTTTCTTTTTCTAAAGAGCACAACTTAAGAAAGAATATTGCTGTTTCTGGCGGAAATAAGATCAGTCCCTGTGTTGAGGTGGGAAATGTTGAAAGTTCTGTTGCCTAACTGACTTGGATGACCTTGACCTTCAAGGGCTCTGTTCAGATCAGTGTGCTGTTTTGCTAGAATCCTAACATCTTGGTTTGGAATGCCACAGAATATTAGAGCATCTGCTGGCAAAGAGAACAGCCCTCTCCCCTTGAAAAACCGACATTGGGTCCCATTCTCTTTATAGTCTTCTTTTTTTCCCTCCCAAACCTGGTCAGCAGATGCTAGAGGAGAGGTTGAGAATGGGATGAGTTATAAAAAGGTAGCGTGTTATAAAAAGTCTTGGGTTCTGTATAAACAGGGCCAACAGAAAGGCTACTTGGCTGAATCAAAAGCTTTCAATGCTCAGAACCTTTGACAGTCATTACAAATTATATTTTAAGTCAGAGGTTACAAACTGACAGCCCATGAGCCAAATCCAGCCTGCAGATACATTTTATTAGGCTTGCTGGGTATTTTTTTTAACTTTGAATTCATTGTCAACACTTTAAAATGGGGGAGATTTTAGGTAAATACTAATTTTCAACATCTCCTGAAAACTTGTATCCCCGTAAAGCAAGCAGAGAAGTAACCGCCCTCTTAGACCAAGTGGAAACCCTTCAGTGACTTCCTAGTTCAGCCCACTTCACCAACTGACATCACTCGCCGTTCTCTGAGACATTTGAAATTGGAGAATACGTGTTTACATGGAGAGCTATTCATAATATATTAAGTTTTAAAAAGGTTGACAAATAGTCATTGCAAGAGTTTTATAATAATGTTTTGCTTCCTTTTAGCCGGAACCGCCATCTTCTAGTAATTAACCAAAATTACCAACACAAAGGGAAAATATATGTTCTCTAGGCCTTTTAGAAAACATGGAGTTGTTCCTTTGGCAACATATATGTGAATCTACAAGAAAGGTGATAGTGTAGACATTAAGGGAATGGGTACTGTTCAAAAAGGAGTGCCCCACAAATGTTACCATGGCGAAACTGGAAGAGTCTACAGTGTTACCCAGCATGCTGTTGGCATTGTTGTGAACAAACAAGTTAAGGGCAAGATTCTTGCTAAGAGAATTAATGTGCTTATTGAGCATATTAAGCATTCTAAGAGCAGAGATAGCTTCCTAAAATGTGTGAAGAAAAATGACCAGAAAAAGAAGGAAGCCAAAGAGAAAGGTACCTGGGTTCAACTCAAGTGCCAGCCTGCTCCACCCAGAGAAGCCACTTTGTGAGAACCAATGGGAAGGAGCCTGAGCTACTGGAACCTATTCCCTCGGAATTCATGGCATGATGGGTGTTAAAAATAAACTAATCTATGGTCAATAAAAATGTTTGGCTTAATTGAGTAGAATTGTATTCCCTCCCCAAAGCTAATTTTTATTGGGGTCTAATTCATTTTGTAATATCTTTATTCAAATTTAGTGTATTTTTTTTACCTGAAAGATGTTAGGTGATTTATGCAACAAATAAAACTCAGCTGGTTAAAAAAAAAAGAATGTTTCAAAATATGTATTTTAGAAAAAGTGGAAAGGATTAAGTATGGTTATCTAATGGGTTAAGATTACAGATATTTTGTTTATCTGCCCTTTGAATTTTTCTATAATACATATATGTATATGAATAGTTTATAAATAGAATCAAGACAAAAGTTATTATACCACACACACACGCATATATGTAAACTCACTGGTGTGTGTACGTGTGTGTCTGTACTACTGGCTGGTATTCCTAGTAGCCAGTACTTGAATTTCTGCTGTAAAATATGTATTTTAAAATATGGTAAGAAATAAAACGGGATTTTTAAAAAAGAGATTGCCAAGTCAAATCATAATTATAATCTGTAATATAGAAGTCATACATTTCAATAGTCAAAACAAGCCGTTAAAGTGAAAAGCTATGTTTCTATTATAAAATATAGGAATATTTAAGATTAAGATTAAGATCTAATATTTAAGAAAATGTTGATTTCCAGTAGGAAAGAGAAACCAAGAGCCGTTGTCATACCTTTGGTGTGTCCATACTTTCTGCTGTAATTCACAGACTTAGGGACTCCATCATTGTATATTAGATAGGCTGTGTTGTTACTCTGTAAGAATACAGTAGGGTTATAATGGCATAAATCTCCTACTCACAAATGCTCAAACATTTCTTCCAGCTACCCAGCCTGCAACACAGAGTTTTCATTAATACACATGAGAAGTCATTTATTCCCCTAATTGGCAGCTTCCCCACCAACGTGAGTTCTGTCACATGCAAGACAGGGGAATGGAAGTCCATTTTCTGTTGTGCGCAATTTCTACTCCTGTGACAGGAGCTTTGGCATTGCTGTCTGAGTAGATGGGCAATATTCCTATTTCTCTTGCTTGTTTTGGAATCAGGTTTCTGTTTAAGCAACGAATGTATAATTAAGGAGGACTGGATGATTTGCTAGGAATTAAGTAGGAACAACTAGCCATGGATTACACCAATTTTTGTTCCCGTGCAGAACGGGCTGTCAGGACCTGATTCCCTCGGCCGACTTGATACTTCACTGCGTGGTTATAGCGCTGTGTTTAATCAGGATCCCTCATTGTCTGCTCCCCATCCCTCCCTGATAGGGATGATTTTACTCAACCCATTTCTCAGTATCACTTTACCTTTCCAACTTGATATTTCCCGCCTTAGAAAAAGAGGTGAAATTTAATGTGTGATGTTAGATTTCCTCTGGTAAAGAGAAATACAAGTCAACCCTCCAGTCAGCCCACTCTCTGGATCAACATAGGCTATTATTTTGATAGTATCTCCTTGGTATGTTTTGGAAACTTGCTTGTGTTTGTTTCAAATGGTTCCATTTCATATGTGTTATGATGCAGTGGCTTTTATTGAAACCAACAATGTCAATATTTTAAGAATCTCAGAGGCATACCTAAAAGCAGCAAAAGACAACTTATCTGCTTAAAAAGGCCCTTGCTTTGCACTTAGAAAGGAAAGTCAGGGGAACTAGCAGTTAGTGTAATGGCTATGTCGCTGGACTCCCACGTAGTCGACCGTGGTTCGTGTCCCGAACATGGTGGCTTAAAACTCATGCCGGGCGCATGTGCATGTGTGCCCAAGATCCCGAGAGGAGAATGGAGGAGAAGGGATTGTGGCATGACCATCCCCCCTGGGGGGTGATTTCTCGCTTTCTGTCTCTATGTCTCTGTCTGTCTGGCGAGCGCATGCGCCCTATGGCAAAAACCTCTCAAAAAAAATTTAAAAAAAATAAAGGAAAGTCAGTGACTAAGTCTCTCACAGTTGCTTAATTATTTGACATAATTGAAAAACATTTTTAAAAAATGTGTGACATAGTCTGGGTAGTATTCTTGGTTACCATGTTTAAGAATATTCCCAAAAGTAAGCGGTTTTCCTACTCTCATTTTCCATAACTGATCATAGCTACAGAATGACATACCATTCTTCTCTGGAGAGCTCTAACAGTGAGTTACTCCATGAGCCTGCATTGAACGTGGTAATGAGGCCATTTGTGTGCCAATGGAGGTTCCATGTGAAGGGACTCTAGGGAGGTTTGGTGAGAAACTGAGGAACTTTATTCTTTCTAATAAATGAAGACTATTACTCTAACCAGGAGTGTAACAGCTAGCTAAGGTTAAATGGGTTGCAGCCTTAATGGCAATATGGATTATCGACAAAGGGAAAAGATAATGGACTTAAGAGCAGGTAGGCATAGATTGTGCCTTCAGGAAGCTGTATGCCTTTAACACATAAGTTGTGCATGATTTTGACTACTGCGTGTTCAAAAAGGGTTTGGTCTCTGCTCCTTATCTGGCGGGGAACATAAACAAATACAGGCAAATATGGAAGTGTAGGGGAGTCTTATTTGTAAAGGCAAAGGAAGGGAAACAGTTCCAAATGTAGCTCAGCTAGTGGTCTTGGTCACCTCGACATTGAAATTCAAACCTAGTTACTCCGAGCTGCTATTTTATTCTCTGTTAGAAGTTTAATTCCGGGCCAAAGGGGGCATGGTAATGTTCTTACAGTCCTGGTGGCCCGTAGTTCCCCTTTCATAGAGCACTCAGCCTCACCAGGATATCACCCACTGCGATTGCTCTCTTTTGGTTCCATGCTCATCAGACATGGAAATGGGCCCCTTTATTATCATTTTCTTCTCAGAACCAGTCACTCAAGACCTGCGTGTGATGAGGTTTTACTGAAGGTAAAAAACACTGAAAGGTTTTACATCATACAATGCCCTACCCTTATCTGCCTCTACGTTTCTTACACTATTTAATCCCTGGCTCCTTTCCATCCCTTTTTTGTTTTGCAGAGCAGTTAAGCTCTCTCCCTCCTGGGCTCTGGGGCTACCTTTGCACCTCCAAAGATCATCATTGTATTCTGCCAAACTAAGAACCATCCAGTGGCAATTAAGGTAAATGACAGAGGCTTGAAGCTGTGACTCTTTCCTTTTCCCTGTGCGGCAGCTCTCTGCCATGGAGAAGGGCACAATGTCGGCATTTATTTTCTCAGGGCCGGGCTTTGCTCCTGGTCCCCACCCTCCGACCTTGGAAAGCAGAAGCAGCTGCAGGCAGTTTTCATCTTGCATAATAGTCTGTTCATTCAAAACAGGATTGCTGTTGAGACTAAATAACTTAACAGCACCTAGAATAGTGCTTTCCATATCACATTTACTCAAACAGCCTAGGAGTACGTTTTAACTCTGTAGCTTGGCTCTGAAGGCTGGTCTTAACGGCAGGTGAATGGGACGAACAGTACCATACACAGTGACAGCTCCCTGCACATTTCGAGTAAACACTAAGATATACATGTACAACAGTGCTGGAGGCTGAAACAGTATAGTCGGCAGAATTTAATCACTTGGCATATGTGAAGGCCCAGCATACTGCTCAGTGTATTACTGGAACTGAATCCTTTTATACATTTGCTTTTCTATAAGGTATGGAATGTATACAGGAGTGTAATTGGATGTTAATTATTGCTTCATTTTACTTGTCACCCCTGATTGCAAAGCAGCATTTTGTCACTAAAATGCAGATGGTGCCTGGAACACTGAGAGGCTGCCCACACTGAGCCCACAGGTCTACTCACTGTGTCTCTTGGCTGGTTAGCCCATGGCCTGATGATGTGCAGAGAGCAGGTTAAATCTCCACTCGGGCGAGTCAGTGCTGGGGCCTTCAACTACAGCCCTCTTAGCGTACCATTTTGAAAACAATTAATTAAATGACTGAATGGAACCCTGTACTAGGGTCACCGCCATCCTCAACACCATGACATAAACAATCCATAACTCATGGCACACAAGGGGACTTCAAAAAGCTCATGGAAAATGTAGAATTAATGTACAAGTTTATATCATTTTATTTTCAGATTTTAAATGATGATTTTTAAATTTTCATTTAATCATTGTACATCTCTATAATGCATGATCTGGTTTTCAAGGTGTACATGCAGTACATGACAATCAAATCAAGGATATTTTCATATACATCATTTCCAACAGAGAACTTCACATTGTGACACAGGTTTATTTTGGTGTAAAAAATTAAAACCCATGCATCTATTTTTTTTTCATAATACACATTTTCCATGAACATTTTCAAGACCTCTTATGTTTATCACAAAGCTATTGGGTCATTATAAAAGTCACAATGTATTTTTCTATGCAAAAGTATGTCCTGACTTTTCCGACAACCCAAAAAATTGCCTCGTAGCAGGACAGGGCTGTTCTCCCAAATTTTGGTGGATGAATTTTCTAGCAAGAACTGAGCAAATTGGCAGAGGTGTGGGCAGCCAGAAGACTAATCTACATTAGTTCACACCGTGCTCTGTGACAAGGACGTGGCCTTGCAGCAGTAGAGGGAGTGTGACGCCTTATTTCCTAAGATGTTGATCAGATCGATTCAGGGACTTGTCCCAGAATAGTTATGAGCTAGCTTACTTTAAGTAGCTAGGACAGAGAGTTGTTGGGTGGATAGGAAAAACCTTTGGGAAACTTTGGATTCTGCTTTAGGCTCACATATGATTCAAAAGAAGGAGGAACTGAAACATACCTTGGAGGCTTGCGCCTCGTACAGCTGTTGTAAAGTCCTTCCCAAAACACTCCTGGTGGTATTCATCAGTTGCTTACTCCTCCTCCAGGTTCTAATGGTCGAGTCTAGGTACAAGTACTCTAACCCAGTCTCACCACCTCCCTGGCCTTGCCTTTTAGGTAACTTATAGAAGGTAAACCTAAGAAGGAAACAATTAGAAATCATTTACATTTATTGACAACTTTTCTGGGGGCGGTCATTGTGTTAAACCTTAAAAGTGTCTCTTGCTTATGTTTCACAAAAAACGTCTAAGGAAAGGGATTTGCTCAAGGGCTCTGTCTCTTGCTCTGCCTTCGCCTTCATCTGTGCTCTGCCCAGAGGAGGAAATGTGACTCTGACTGGGTGTGCTCCAAGATGGTCACTGGCCTGGTGCGAGCCCCTTTAGGAGAAGTCTGTGGACACTGGGAGCGGCTCTCTGTGTCGCCTCCATAGTCCATGTGACTGCAGCAGGGAGAGAACAAGGCCTAGACCTGTCTGCCGAAGCCTTGGATTCTCTTCTGCCATGAGTGCCTGGCATGCTCATCTCGTTAGAGCTGGCTGGCAGGGTATGATTTGAGTTTGAGCTTTAGGGAAGATGGCAGCTTCCTTGAACCTCTGGCCTGAGCCACATTCTTCTACTCAGTTTATCAGAAGGCTCTGCACCAACCATGCAGGACCAAGACTGATTAAGTGGGATGTTTCTTTCCTTTTCTGTTGCTCCCAGCTTGTATACCTGCTTTGGGTAGCTCACAGGGAGGAGAGGTGTTTGGGCCCCTCCAGCACTGAGCATTCTTGGGTCACCTAGCCCAAGGTGTCTCGTGCTCTGTTCGCATTTTGATCCAGCCCATTTGTTGTGTGAGCTGTCTTGTGCCTCATCGGATATCTGGCCTCTGCCTATTAGATGTTGGTGGTTGTGACAATCAATAACATCAAAAGACATTGCCAAAAGTCCCCCTGCCAAAAGGGAAAAATTGTTCCTCAGTTGAGGCTGACAGGCTGTCAAGTACTTTCTAATGTATGAACCCCACAATTAACCCCTTAATCACAGTTAACCGAACATTCTAATACATGCTCTATTACCATCCAACAGTGTTTCACCCTGCTCATGAAAACTTCACACTCTTTTTTTGGTTCTTCTCCCTCCCCCCTTTTATTTTTGGCAGTCGTGGCATGTGCAGTGTTTCAGACAGGGTCTCATTGTCTTACAGTTCTCTTGTCTCCATCTCCTGAGTTGCTGGAACTATAGGCATACACCACGATGTTAAGGCAGGCTGGGACTCAAACCCAGGCCTCCCACGTGGCCTCAACCTGCCAAACAGCCATGTTCAGCATGCACTGTGGCAGCCAGGCCTCTCTTGCTTCTCTTCAACCTTCCACTGCTTTTCGTGTGCACATTTCCTGCCCTGCTATGCTTTGTTACTCACAGAACCGAGTCCTCCTAAGAGGCAGGAAAGCTGAATTATTCTTTGGTGCTGACCTTTAACTCTCTCAGCAAATTGTAGTAGCTCAGAAATAAGTATTCTCTTTGATAGACATCGCCAGGTAATACATTCATTTAGTTGTAGTAAAAATAAGGTATCCAGATAAACTACAAGTCTCCAATCTCTATATTTTTTAAACCAAATTTTATATTTTTTTGGTATAAATCTGTTCAATCAACACTATTAAGGAACATAGCCACATGGTTACAGAAGCGGGAAACCTAAAGTCTTGCTTAACCTCTCCCTCTATCTTACCCCGTGCAGCCCATTTGCTCCCAAGTCCCTGCAGAGTTCTCCTGACTCTTTTCTACTACCGCTTCTTCTTCTTTTTTAAGAGAGGTTTTTGCTATAGGGTGCATGCACTCACCAGAGAGTCAGAGAGATAGAAAGCAAGAAATCACCCCCCAGCAGAGATGGCCACACTGCAATCTCTTCTCCATTCTCTTCTAGTGATTTTGGGTATGCATGTAAATATGCCCGGAGTGCTTTAAGTCACCAGGTCGAGGACTCGAACCACAATTGACTAGGTGAGAATCCAGCATTATAACCATTACGCCATCTGCTGGTCCCCCGCTACCCCTTTTTTAACTTAGGTCCATGCTCGTTCTCATCTGTAATGCTGCAAAATGCCAAGTGGCCCCTGTGATTGTGGACTGGTACCCGGCCAGCCACCCTTCACATAGCTGTCAATGGGCTTCCTAAAAGCAAATCTGACCACGTCTCTGCTTGAAGTCCTGTGATAGTTCCTTTCAGTATCGAGTTCAAACCCTGCAGCTGAACTCACAAAATCCTTCATGACCTGGCTGTCACCTACCTTTCTAGGTTCACTTCTGCTGTTTCTCACATCTCCTGAAGCTTCAGCAATACCAACCTACTTGCAGCATCAAACTTTCCATGCTGCTTCATGTCCTTGTACGTATCTGTGCTCTTTCACTGGCCTGAGATGCCCTTGTGCCTCCCTTCTTTTCCTAGCTATTTACTGATTGTTCTTAAAACTTAGCCCAGGACCAGCTGGGGATATGGTGGTTAGGGCAGCTAGATCCCATGTGGCTGACTGTGGCTTGAGTCCTGGCCCAGAAGCTTGAAAAACGTATCGGTGCTCATGCGTGTATGCCCAAAGTTCTGAGAGGCGAATGGAGGATCATGGATTGTGGGTGTGGCCACCCAACCCAGGGGGATGATTTCTCAATTTCCCCATCTCTTTTCCTTTCTCTGTCTCTCACCCCA